GCGGGAAGCCGGCGGACACGACGCCGACAGACAGGCACTGGCACCAACCGACTGCAGGAGCCTGGGCTGGTGTCCCCCAGCGCTGTCCCTGGGGCGGGCGGCCAATTGGCGCTGGCCCGTGGCGCCTGCGCGCTTGATTATTTATATGAGGCACGTGGGACACGCGGGGGTGTAAGGCAAGGAAAGGGTGCTGTTCTGAGGGGGAAAATATACTATATAAAGCAGGTGTTGCATGCTTATTATATGTTAGGCATTGTATGCCATCTCCCCTTGATCATCGTGACAGTCCTGTAAAGCAGATGCTATCCCCATATTATAGGAAAGGAAACAGAGATTAATGGTTTGTCAAACGTCTCATGGAGCAGAACTCGAACCCAGGCAATAAACTCCAGAGCATGGCATTGCAGCCTGATGGCCCCTTAAAGGCCCCTCTTCTCGTCTGAGAACTGGCAAGTGATCTTCCCGATTCTGGCAGTGTCTTGGGCTGTGGAGAGGCTCAAATGCAACCGTGTGAGCATTTAATAACTGAAGCAGTGCATAGGGTGTGATCATTCCCACAAGCATGCAGTCATATTAAAGCTGAAAAGAAACAGCAGAGAAAAAAAATATCTCCCACATATAAAGAATTTATTCGGGAACGATCAAAAGGGTTATAATCCATCCGAGATGCATGTTATGACAAGCTACAAGTGCACAGGAATTGGGAAAACTAGGGGAGGCTTTTGCTATTAAAAGGGGAAAATTCAGCTGGGCATAGCGCACACCTGTAATCCCAGCATTTGGGAGGCTGAGGCAGAAGGATCAAGTGAGTTTGAGACCATAGGCTACATAGTGAGTTCCAGGTTAATCTCAACTATATAGTGAGACCTTGTCTCAAAAAAGGGTGGGTGGGAATCACACAAACTGCTTGGATACAAAATCCATTGGTCTTGGAGAATGCAGACAGGAGCTGACATAAGCTCATTGTTGGAGGTTCTGTTGCTGGGAGCATTTTGTCTGGATTGTTGCAATTAAGGGTATTAAAAATAAACTTTGTGACAGAGATCTGTGCATATGTGTGAAACGGGCAAAGTATGGAGTGTATGAAAGACTCTCCAATGGGTATTATTTTTAGAAAGGCCTTGAGACTAGTTCTTATCACAAAGAATAAGCTTCCCCTACTCCTCACCCTGCGGGTTCATGCTTTCTCGATCTGAATTTTGCCTGAAAGTGACTTCATCTCAGGATCAGCAGTTTTCAAGGGGACATGTGCAAATGCCTCAGAAGTAGATCTGCATTTCAGAGTTCACAGTCTAGCGGAGAGATAGGTGACAAAAGGGTGTTATTCTACTAGATGTTCTCAGTTGAAACAGGGAAGAGAGGAAACAGGGAAGAGAATTTAAAGGATTTGGAGAAATCACAGAAGGGAGCAAGGACATAGTCTGGGGTTGGAAGGTGAGGAGAAGGGATATTGAAGATTATCTAGTCCAAACTCAATTTTTTTTAAACAGCAGCAGAGGTTGCTACGACTTGAATATTAGCAAGGAGCCAACCCAGTACTGCTAGCCTGAGGTCTGACAGAAGCTGGGGTCCCAGAAGATGCTTATGTCTTCCTGCTTGGGCTCTCTTCTGGGATAAGTAAGCTCTTTGGATAAGTAAGCCCCTTGGTCTCTTACAGGAGATGATCCTAGATCCTTCAGGTAGTTTCAGCCCCAGAAAGATCCGTTCTCACTCCCACTCCAGCCTTTCTGTTTGCACCTCCTCAGAAGTTCAGGTTCTTGCATATCTTGGAAATTTCATACTCAGACAAGAACCAAGACCTGTCACATAAAGGTACAAGATCCCCATAATGAATGTAACTGTAATGTATACCTAAAATGTACCAAGAAACTCAATGAGAGAAAAAAAGAAACTTCATGCTCAATCTCCCCTCAGCCCATCTCCCAGATATCTTTTTTAAAATTATATGCTGACAAAGCTGGTCATGATCACACACTAGTAGTCCCATATACTGGAGGGACTAAGGTTGAAGCATGGCTTGAGCCAAGGAGATCAAGGCCAGCCTGAGCAAAAAAGTAAGACCCCCATTCAGGGAAAAAATTATATATTAACAGATTATAGCTTTTTATGCTTGTGGGGTACAAAGTGATGTTATGCTTTTTGTTGTTCTTGTGAGTTCAAATGTTTTAGATTCTATAAGAGAGAACATCAGATATTTGTCTTTCTGTGCCTAGTTTATTTCTCTTAGTGCAATGTTTTCAGATTTTACCCATGGTGTCACAAAAGACAGAATTTCTTTCTTTTTCAAAACTGGATATTATTTCATTGTGTGTGCAACACATCTTCTTTAGTCATTCATCCGTTAACGGACTCTTTGGTTGATGCCATAACTTAGCTACTACAGCAAACACAGGTGTGCAGATCCCTCGTCTAAATCCTGATTTCAAATATTTTGGACAAATGCTCAGAAGTGGGATTGCTGGATCACAGACACTTTTAGTTCTCAGCTTTCAAGTTACTTTCAAGAAGTAACTTGCCTCACCCATTGCAGCTGCCACTCCCGGATGCCCAGACCTCTTGAACTTCCTCTCACATAGGACTGATATTTCCTGCTCCCTGGTGTCATCCACTGCTTGTCCAGGAGCTTCTCGGGGCAGAAACCTTATTGCTTGTTATCTCACTCACTGCTCTTTCCTCAGCACTGAGCGTGGTGGCTGACACCCTGGATACCTCCTCCATAAATGTCTGTTGGGTGAATGAATGATTACTTTGGCCTGCACTGGAGCAGGTATGATGTTACCCAACTGCTCTTTATTTTTATTTTTATTTTTTTTGGTACCAGAGATCAAACTCGGGTCCCTGCTCTTGCAAGGCAGGTGGTAGAACCACTGAGCCAAATCCCCAGCCCTCTTTTTCTTTTTTTTTTTTTTTTTTTTTTTTTGGATAGGATCTTGCTATATAGTTCAGGCTGGTTTTGAACTCACTATGTAACCCAGGCTGGCTGCAAACCCACCTTAGCTTCCCCAGTGCTAGGATTACAGTCATGTGTACCACATCCACTACAACTGCTGTTTAATGCATGGCTCACTTTCTAGAAGGATGAAAGGCATGAATATGGTCATCAGAGCCCGGGCAGCAAAATCTCAGAAGATGCCTCCTGCCATTGACCCAGGACTTGTATTTGGACAGCCACTTACCCATACTCATATATATTTCATCTCCTGAAAGGTCTGAAGCTGAATGAATTCAAACAAGGATTTCTCTAGCCCTAGAGAGACTCAGGACTTTTCTTAGATCCAGGTTTTGCAGAAGCCACATTGTGTCATACTTACTGAGACTTTGTGGGAAACAGTCACCTCCCTGAGTCTGCTCTCTAACACTGGAATTATCTTTGCTTCCCTGCTGCCATGACCTAAGTGGCTTTGCTCCACCACACCCCTCTGCCATTCTGTCTCTGCCTTGGAGCCAGCTAATCAGACCGAAACAAATTAAGTCTCTCTTCCTTTAAGTCATGGATGTTGGGTATTGTGTCTCATAGCTGAGAGAGTGACTGAGCCAAGTGAAGAGGAAGAGTAATAGTGTGCAATGTCAAAAAACCAGAAGGACAGGGCCAGGGGTTTAGTTCAGTGGTTCTGCCGCCTGCCTTGCAAGTGCAAAGACCTGAATTCGATCCCTGGTACCAAACAAGACAAAACAAAACAAAACCAGAAGGACAGGCATTTCAAAAAACAGGAAGGGCTAACTGTGTCAAATGCTATCCAGAGGGCAAGCAAGACGACAGGTGATCTCTGGATTGGGTAACACGTTGCTCCCTGGTGACTATGAAGTGTGTCGTTTAGGGCCGGGGATTTAGCTCGGTGGCACTGCGCCTGCCTTGAAGGTTTCAGGTCCTGAGTTTGATCCCCAGTACCACCAAAAAAAAAAAAAACAAAAAAAACCAACAAAACAAAATCCCCCCAAAACAAGAGTGTGGTTTGGCTGGGTAAGGTGGTGCACATCTGTAATCCCAGAACTTGGGCAGCTGAGGCAGAAGGATCACCAGAAATCTGAGAACCAGCCTGTGCTACATAGTGAGTACAAGGCCATCCATAACTAATAGCAAGACCCTGTCTCCAAAATAGAAAAAAAAAGTGGTAATTTGAGGAGAGAAAAGGAGACACAGGTACAATAACCAGAGACAAGGATTTCAAGAAGTTTTGCTTTGGAGAACAGAGAAACAAAGTAATAACTAGAAGGCTAAGGGGCAACTAAAGAGTGTTTTTGTTTTGTGTTTTGTTTTGCGCAGTACAGGATTGAAACCAGGGCCTTCACATGGAGTTACGCCCCCAGATTTTTTTTGTTTTTTGTTTTGAGATGCTAATTTACCCAGGCTGGATTTGAATTTAACATTCTCCTGCCTCAGCCTCCCACAGTGTTGGGGTCACAAGTGTGCACCTTCATGCCCAGTTTAAGAGTGTTTTCAAGACGGAGACTGCAGAGCGTGTTGATGTGTTGATGGGAAAAGAAAGGAAGAGGTTGACGATTCAGCACAGAGCAGACCCAGAGGAACAGAGACCTGGAGAAGGTGAAGGGTAGTGTACTACTTATCTATTCTTGCAAAAGTAGTGGCTTAAACAATGCATCTTTGTTATGCCCATTTCTGTGGGTCAGGAGTCCAGGCACTGATTAACTGATCTTTCTGGAAGGCAGAAACCATGTTGTTGGCCAGGGTTATGGTTTTCTCAGAGGCTCAACT